GTAGGTGACTCCTGCAACCTCAAGGAGTTTCCCGTCCTGTGCGTCTGCTCGATATTCATCCTGCAAGATGCACGCCTGTCCCTGTCTCAGATGCACACATGCAACTCCCAGATGGCCATGCCCTCCTCTGGGCCCCTGCCTCCTCCTCGACTCACTTCTGCTGTCTCACCCATTGGGTAAAAGGATCTCTTCCTCTACACAACTGGAAGGCAGGGACAGAGCCTTTTCCTTGTTATCACCATCACCTAGCAGTGCCTAGGACATAGATGGTGCTCAATGAATGCTGGCTGGTTGGTTGAATGATTGTGCTTCAAGGAAGCCCATGGTTGAGGATGGATGAGGAGAACCTGGTGGAGATGGAGCCATCCTTGCCCATACACCCACAGGTCTTTCTCCTACATGGACAGCTATAACCATGACATTCGTTTTGACAACGTCTACATCAGCACCTACTTCTGCCAGATCGATGACCGCAGGAAGAAGCTGGTGAGTGGGTGCAGCTCTGCCCGGGGATGCCTTACTGCTGTGTGCCCTGCGTGGGCTTCATGCCCCAGGAAGGCAGAGGGGAAAGGGCAGAGGGCCTTTGGGCTTCCCAACCATGTGGACATTTGTTTTCCAGGGCAAACGGACTTTGCTGCCACTCCGCAAAGCTGAGGAGAAAACCGTCATCTTCCCCTGCAAGCTCACCATCCAGGCTTCAGAAATGAGCAACGTGGTGAGGACAGCATGACGAGCGGGCTCCTGGGTGCAAAGACAGGCCTGAAGATGAGGGTGGAGGGTAAAAGGCCCCAGAGAGTGCTCCGTGCCCGGGCAGGTGGTGCTGCCCAGCTCTGCCCATCCTGCTCCTTGGCCAGGTGAGGGAGCTCCTGGAGGCACTACCCATTCTGCTGCTGCTGGTGCTGCTGTGCGGCTTGGACTGGGCTCTCTACTCCATCTTTGACACCATCCGCCACCACTCCTTCCTGCAATACTCCTTCCGCAGTGAGCCCATCCCCCAGCCACATTCCAGGCCCAAGAGACAACCTCTGGAGAACTCCCAAGCCTGCACAGGCGCCCCGCCCTAGTTCTTCCAACTGTGCCTCGTCCTTCTGCCTTTTTTTTTTTTTTTTTTTTGGTCTGGCTCTGTCCCAGGCTGGAGGAGTGCCATGGCATGATCTCGGCTCACTGAAACCTCCACCTCCCGAGTTCAAGCAATTCTCCTGCCTCAGCCTCTAGAGTAGCTGAGATTACAGGTGTAAGCCACCAAGCCCAGCTAATTTTTGTATTTTTAGCAGAGACAGTTTCACCATGTTGGCCAGACTGGTCTCGAACTCCTGATCTCAAGTGATCCACCCATCTCAGCCTCCCAAAGTGCTGGGATTACAGGCGTGCACCACCATGCCTGGCAGTCCTTCTGCCTCTTTTCTCCTTTCTGTGACTCAGCCCCTCCTTGTCCTCCTCCAGGTCAAATCTCAGCCCTGCAATGTGACAGCTCTCACAGTAGGGGAGGGGGGCTCAGTTACCCCTTTATACTTACAACAGTGAGCAGGGAGGGGTTAGGATTCAGAAAGGTGATGGAAAGGCTCACGCAGCTCAGAAGCATTTTCTGTGCCTTGACATCTCCCGGATAGCCACCCTACATCCTGCCCCACCCCCTTAACACTTTCCTGACTTCCCCACCTGCCCTGACTTCCCCACCTGCCCTCCTGGCCACAGGCAGTCATAAGTTGGAGGTGAAGGTCGAGGGAGACTCCATGCTAGCCCGGCTTCTTCAAAAAACCATTGGGGCCCTGAATACCTCCTCAGAGACAGTGATGGAATCAAACAACATGCGTGAGTGATGCTGAAAGTTTGGATCAGAGAATTGATGGCGGTGGGGCAAGGGTCAAAAGACTCCAAGGTAAAGAGTTGGGGGCCGGGCGCGGTGGCTCACGCCTGTAATCCCAGCACTTTGGGAGGCCGAGGCGGGTGGATCACGAGGTCAAGAGATCGAGACCATCCTGGTCAACACGGTGAAACCCCGTCTCTAC